AACTCGACATTAAGCAGTATTTTGATAGTGATGGAGTAGAGAAAATGTTGCTTAAAGTGCTAAATTTCTTACAGTTCATTCAGATGATTACAAGAATATCAGTTAAACTGGTCTTTCTGTAACCTTTAGACATTGTGGAACAACTCAAGCTTTTATAGCAGGGAGTTTTTTGTTGTTTGCAGTGCATAAACCTCCCCCACCTCCTCCCTGTCCCGGTCTCCGATCTGGCCTACACACACTTGTTCATGCATGCTTAGATCTACCTACCTTCACCCTTTCACTTAGTGCAGACTCGGGTGTTGCATTGTTTCTGATTTCAACACGCACACGGCTACTTTAATAATGATAAAGTAGGCTGGTTGTGTGCATGTTCATTTAACGTTATACTCGGAGATCAACACAGAGGCTAAAGAAGTAGCACCTTTTGTCTTCAAACATCTGCCAGGACTCGCTGAGTGGTTAGTCAGCCAGACGGCAGAATGGCTTGCTAACCAAGTAGCTAACAACTGACTGACTGGTGTCCGGCAAAGCTCTCTGGCCTGTGGGCTGGCTGATTTCTGGCTGGCTGGATGGCAGCTGTTGCTGTTCAAACAGAGTTGCATCTGCTGGGCCCTTTGTTCTAACACACACACACTCTCTCTCAATGACTCTGAGTCTGTGTTGGAAAAGAAAGAAGTTCTTTTGTTTGGTTGTAAAATGACGGTGGGGGAGGGTTTGGGCAGTGCTAATGTGAAGTGTGGGTTTCTGGGTGTGTAAATGTGAAGCTTTTTTCTTCTTCAATGGGTGAATGTTTTTTTTTTTCAAGGGTGGATACAACTGATTTACTTGCGTAACATGCAAGTTGGTCTGATGCACCCTCTCTAAAGAGGGCTGAGTGAGGCTTCAGGTATACTATACTTGTAATTTCTTGGCCAGTATTGCCAAAACTGGGGCAACTGAGACTTGTATGGGGGGGAAAGTCTACATGGTTAAAATCTAAAGTCTTATTTACTATTACCAAGCATAACCACAAACTTATGGACTATGTACATGTCGGTGCAAACATGACTTAACTAGCCACAGCTTTGCTTGACTGGGTGAACTAAAGTAAGACTTTTTAGAAATAACCAATGACATTTAAAAATTATGTAGTGTGACGGTGTATGGTAATAATGACAAACTGCTGGTTAGTCACATCTGATAATGTAATAGGTTTGCTACTACATTACTACCACTGACTTTTTTTAGCTGATAACTTTGACTTGAGCTCACCACTAATACTGCTGAGGTAAATCTACATGTTCCATGTACATCAACAGAACAGTGTTGTGCTGCTCCAACAATATGCCATGCTATATTTTGTGCAGAAAAACTGCTTCATTCCCTTTTATTCACACAATGCTGTCAAAGTAACAGTAAAAGCTGCATGTTTCAGCTCATTGGTTGCAGATGTTGTTTGATGAATGAGCAGACGTGGTTATTCGAGGGAAGTTAATGTGTTCAGGTGTAGAAAACGGTCTTCAATGAGCTTTCTAATGACGTTCAACCAGCTTTCAAAACAGCACTTCAGCATTTGAATCAAACAGCAGCCTCCTGGTCTCGCGTGTACCTGCTCTAATTTCACTGTTTGTCTTTCTTTCCCCCTCCCTCTGTCTCTCCAGGAACCTTAATGAGGACCATGGAGTAGCAAGCCTTCAAATTAGCAGCTAGCTGATTAGCTCCGTACTGCACAACACACCTCCCTCCATCCAGTCCCCTCCATCTGTGGGCCCCCCACCCCACCACAGGCATGGCGGACCCAGGGATGTTGAGTTTATTCGGGGACGATGCAGGACTGTTCTCAGATGGATTAGATGATTTAGGAGACTGCTTTCCTCAGCAGCCTACCCCTGCTCAGTCAAACCCTCTAGCCCAGCAGACTAATCCCTCTCTGAACCACGAGCACCAGGGAAACAGGGGCTACCACCAGGGGATGATCCACGGAGCTGGGCCTGGCCCAGGGCAGCCTAAATTAGGGCAAATGTACGACCACGGCCCCTACACAGGCTACGATCAACCGGGTGCCCCGGAGGACGAATGATGGCCCAGAATGGCCCCAGCCAGGGGCCACCAAACGTGAATACAGCCATGAATGGCATGGCTTCCCACTACCATAATAACCCAACTAACTCTAGCAACCCACTCCATGGGTACCCGGGTGATGCTGGAGGAGGAGCAGGAGGTGGCGGTGGAGTGTGGGGGCAGCAGCAGAGCAGATCAGCTTATCAGCAGCCCCCAACACAACCCGGGGCCGGCCCCAACCAGATGGGGGGCTACCAGATGTCTCAAGGAAACTATGGTGGGATGCAAGGCCCACCTACACCCAATGCAACTCGCATTAACCAACACTACCCTCCACAGAGCATGGCACCCCCTCCTGCTCAGGACCCATCTCACTACCTGGGACATGTTGGAATGGGGGGGACCCAGATGAGACACCCCCAGCCCCAGACACAACCCCAGGGCTATCCCAACATGGGCCACACACCCCGATACCCACACTCCCCTCCCGACAGCCTCCACACACCCACCAGCACCAACAAGGCATTGCGGGGTTTGCAGGAGGCCAGTACTCTGGTTATCAGGCCCAGTATGGAGCCATGGGACCTGGGATGGCTCAGGGTCCTAATGCTAATGTCAGTGCTAACACCAGCCAGGCCATGGGACCAGGGCAGCTTGGCCAGAGGTTCAACCAGGGAACAGGCCCAGCAGCCGGGCAACAGGGGCAGCGATACCCCCCTGGACCGCAACATCAACCCCAGCCCCATCAGACCCATTCTGCCCCGATGCAGCCGCAGGCAGGGCAGCAGGGCCAGCCTATGCACCCCCTAAACCACCCCCAGAATCTGCCCCAGCCATCAAACCAGCCCCAGTCCCACCTTGCCCCCCCAGCTCAGGGATCTTACCCCTCCACCCCATCTATGTCCCCCATGCGGGTTTTGGGAACCCCAACACCTCCTCCTCAACAGGGCAGACCCCCTAGCGCAGGCCTAGCTGGACCCCCAGAGGTTGCGGGGTACACAGCCCTGCAGTCTCCACCCAATTCTATGGCTCTTCCACAGAGAACGCCCCAAACCCCTCTATCCGCCCCCCACCCCCAACACCAGCAGCAACTCAACATGCCCCCCAACGCAGGGCAGATGTATCCCAGCATGGGGCCGCAGCGTGGACCACAGATTGGTCCAAATAGACCCCCGCTCCAACAGCAAGGTAAGCACAGGACAGGTGATGCTGTCCCATATGGTTTTTCATTGTTCTACTGACACCAATTCAGGGTTTTTGTTTACTGCCACTTTAATGGATATTACTACATTCAGAAAATTACAAGTTAAGCAAACAGAAGTATTGAAAAATTCAAACAAAAGAGTTTTCTTGACACTTTCTGTTCTCATTTGTGGCATCTAGAAGCATAAATTTCAACTGGATGGAGAATCTCATGAAAGGGGGAATTTTTACACATCCTTATATTTAAAATAAATAGGAAATTATAATAAAGCCTTTTGTTCAACTAAAAAAAACTTGTTTTCATTGTAACTGATAATAATTGTGTAAAACCAGATGTGTGGTATTTTCAGAGGCAGTTAACGTACCATGGAAAACACCTAGGGCTGGGTACTGAGAAATTTTGTTAAACTAGTAACGGCGCTACTTGTAACGACGCTACAGCCCAAAACTGCTCGTACGGTGGGCATGTTGAAGCAGCTCGGTGGCAGTAGGGCACCGAGATGATGACTATCTCGGTCTTTTTGCAGCAAAGACGGAGCAACTTTCTGCTCTTAAGTTTATTCCATGCACAGTCAAGGGCTTCACCAGGTTTGTCGTGTCGCCACTCTTGGCAGCAATTATCTTGCGTCGCAAATATTGCATCGCGCGCTGTTGCATCAAGCCACACTTTTGATTTTCGCCACATCTGTGCATAACCAGCGTGAACTAGTGTTTACATCACCACAGCCAATTACAATCACTTTTTAGATGTGGGCACATCAAGAATGCTGCATGCTTATTGGCTCATTGGCGTTAACAAGAACCTTTTTAGGTATCGAACTTTGCTACCGAAACACGAGGCATTTTTTTGATACTCGTGGTATTGAGGCAATTCGGTCGGTACCTAAAAAGTATTGAGCTCGATACCCAGCCCTACTCACACCATTTCAACCCTAATATGCACAACACAGAGCTGTTGGAGTAGCTGTGACAACACGGACTTTATCTTTATGCTACTCCTGCTACATTTTCATAGCAGTGGAAATAAGGACATAGTAAGAGTACACAAGGAAACATTGGGCTTATTTGAATAAGAAAAAACTTCAGTTTCTTGTCTCTTCCTCATCAAATGCACACATTCCCTAGATATATTATGCATGTCCTCAGAGTGGTCAGATCAAATCGTCAGACGATGCAGCGTCTTCGGATCTCTTAGTGATTGTCCTCAGGGGCAGAGATTACACTGTAGTACCAGCAAACCTCCAGGTGCTAGCTTACAAATGGAATACAGTGCAAATAGGATCAACCCTTTAGTTACTTGAACCTCTGTAGAATCCCGCAAATGCACAATTTAATTCCTGATGTATTTCAGAAACATCTACATTCAACTTGATATGATCTGTAAACCTGGATGATTTATTTTACACAACATCCTCTCTATAATTAACTTCTCACTTCTTTGACAGTTGTGTGAAGTTGAGATAAAGTTACTATTTTGTTGTTTGTGCTCTGAATTCAGTTTTGATTTATGCTTTTCAGTGCTTGTAAAAAGCATAATATTTGGCTTTATTTGTACGCCTCACTAGAAACTGACTCACTGTAGCCAGCTAGTGTCTCATTTACTGTATTTTTAATGGTTTTAGCAATTGAAACACCAACGTAGAAAAAGTTTTGACTAAATTTCAGCATCTTGGAGATGGACAGGAGTAGAGCTGCAACCATTAATCGATTAGTTGTAAGCTATTACATTAACCACCAACTGTTTAATAATCGATAAATCAGTTTGAGCCTTTAAAAAAAGAAAACTATATAATTCCACCTTCTTAAAATGTAAGTATTTTCTGCTTTCTTCACTCCTATAGTAATAGAAGTGAATATCTCTCGTTTGTGGACAAATCAAGACATTCAAGGAGGTGATCTTAGGCTTTAGCAAACAAAGATTTCTGACATTTTATAGACTAACCAATAAATCTGTTGATTGTGAAGATAATCGACAGATTCAGGGTTATTTTCAATGATAATTAGTTGCAGCCCTACACAGGAGGTAAAACATGTTGTTGGCATCATACATCCAAACAGTCAGGGTTGAAACTGTTTTTCCTCTACTCCAAGGCCCCCATGAAGCTCCAGTCAGCCAGGGGGGAGACCAGCGTCTGCTCCAGGCCCAGCAGCAGGCCTCCCGGAGCGGGCAGCCCCTGCAGCCGGCTCCCATGGGTTTCCAGGGTCCGCCTGTTAGTCAACATGGAGTTCCGGCCCCAATCCAGGGCTTAGCGCCACAAGCCCAGAACACTCAGCCTCAGCACACGCACCTGCCCCCCCACCCCCAGCACCTGCAGAGCACGCCCCCTCCCCCAAATCAGGCCTCCCACCCATGGGCGCCTCCCGCCTCCCACCCGCTCTCCTCACCCCCTCTCACCCCACAGAAAGTGCCTCACGTACAGGTGAGTCGCCATCAAACAAACACTTTGATGTGGTTGCAGCGCTCCATGTGTCAGAGATCAAGACTATGTGCATTTGTTTTCATGTGTGGGTGTATTTCATGTGAAATGTTTATTTTTCATGTGGGTGGGGGAATGTGCGTGTTTGGAGTGTAAGGGAAGTGTGTGGTGTGTGTGCATAAATGTGTGTGTACATGACATTTGAGAACACAGCGGTGCATTGGGCGCTGGTTCAGTGGGGTTTTGTGTGTGTGTGTGTCATCATATCGGTGTGTTTTTTGCCTTTTGTGTCGTCTGCTGTCGGCCTTGTGTGTGTGTGGTTGTGTTTCCGTGTGTGTGTATTTGGGGGGGGATTTTTGCTGCTGTTTGTTTCCTGTGAGCTGCATATCCTGAGACACGTGTGCAATACACACTCGCATACATGCGCACACACAGAGGCGCCACCAGCATAATCTCGCCTCCCTCTTGTTCCCACATCTCCCCCTCCTCTGTAGAGGAAACCTCCCTTCCTGTCTCTCCCTCCTCCCCGTCTCCCCTCTTTCCGCTCTCTGTCTCTCTCTCTCTCTCACTGTTTGTCTTATCCTTTTCAGGGGTGTCATCTGTAAGTTAATGTTGTGTAGCCGGATGTGCAGAAAGACAGTTTGGAAAAGAGGGAGACAGTGAGGAAAAGGGGGGGGGGGGGGGAACTCGGGGGTGATTAAGAGATTGGGGGATGGGTGAAAAACACTAAAGGGGGAGGAAAAGTAGGAAAACATCTCAAGAGAGGGAGTCCAGGATTTCAAGCAGAGGAGACGAGGAGGGGTGGGCTGGTGGGAAGAGGTTAGCACTTCTTAGCGGCATCCTCCATGTTTGTGTGTGTGAGCGCATACTGTGACCGCTGCCTGCGTCACGTGCCCCTGGCTTCCATTAGCTTGTTTTGTTGCTCAAAGCCCCCTTTCTCCACTGACCCATTCACACACAATAGCAGTCCTGTGGCCACACACACATCTAGTCCTCTTTTTATTCTCGCTCACACTACTCCCCACTCACTACTCCCCCCCACCCCACCCCACCTCCAAGCCTGCGTTGCTGCGTTTGTGTGGTTGACATTTCAGCCGTCACACTTAATTTATCCAGCACTCCTGACCTAGATGCCAGGTTGACTGGTGAGCCCTGCTCCCTCGCCTGGGAGAGCTGCATGCACCGCCCCGCCTCTAGCTCCAGGCCCGGCAGCCCCCGTCAACACACACACACACTCACACACACACACGCGCGCACACACACACACACACACCACGCATGCCGACACTGTGTGGCTCGGGAGAGTGTGGTCAGGAATGGGACGGCAAATGTGCCAGGGGAAATAGGATAGCCTAGCTAGAGGAGGACTCTAGAGTGGGGGGTGTGTGTGTGTGTGTCTGCGGCACAGGAATGCCTCACGATGCACTTGTTAGAAAGAGAGACACACATGCACGCACGCCATGCTGGTCAGTCAGTCATGATGACTGTGTGTCTGGTACTCTAAGCTCCATCTGTTCGCTAAGCATGGTTATTACACATGCACGCACGCA